GGGAAGCTGCGACGGCGGCCATGTTGGCCAGGGTCAGAGTTGGACAATGGGGAAGCACAGAAAGTGTTAGAACAGTCTCGTCTGTGCTCACTGAAGATTGTATTTGTGAACCTGGAGACGAGGAAAAGTGTGTTCTTTAGCGCACATTATGTGTGGGCTGAGTGGGGAGTGTGTTCCCAATGAATAATTTTACTAATATCAGCGACTATCTCACAGGTGACTGTAAACAGGACCTTTACAGAGGCAGTTACGGTTCAATGAGGTCACTAGGGTGGGACCTAATCCAATGGGACTGGTGTCTTTCCTTATAAAGACTAGAGGTCCAAGGCACAAAATTCGTGCAAGAGTAGGCCTTCCCCCCGGCTGCCGGCTTCCCTAGGGCACTGGAGACACGGGCTTCCCTCAGTCCTGGCTTCATCCGGAAGGTCATCCTCCTGGACATCAGGTCTAATTAGCATATTACGCTTTTATTATCATAGATTGGACACAGGTACACACAGAAAGACCGCGTGAAGACGGAACAGGGTCACCTACAAGCCAGAGAGGCGCCAGCGCAAACCACCCCCCCACACACACACCTGGATCTCTCATCTCTCAGTCCAGGTCAAGGCTGGCAAATTTCCCTAAAGGGCCAGATATGGTCTCTGTCACTACCAAGCAGCATTGCTGTTGTAGCACAAACCAGCCAGACAATACAAAACGGAATGGGACTGCGTTCCAAGAAGGTGTTATTTACAAGAACAGATGGGCAGTCTGTTTCGCCAACCTCTGATTTAGATATTCCTCTCCTTTTAAAGAGAATTTTGGTTGGTCAGCAATATTATAGTCGTCTTTGTAGTGTAATACATGGAACATCCGTCCCTCAAACGCTAACGTGATCAGTGTGAAACGGAACTCAGTGGGAGTGGACAGAAGTCATTATTCTGGATCTTGCCCTCAAGGTGGGCAGCCAGGATACCGCCCTACCTATTCGGCTATAACTGAGCTGACTTTATAAGAAGGAGCCCAAAAGTGACCATAGTGGCACTACTTTAAAAAATGGCAGCGTTTAAAATAAAAATTGAGGGAATGCCAGTCAGTACCAAAACATCCTGACAATGAGTAAAAGCCTCTTAAAAGTGATGACAAAAATTCAATGACATGTTTGGAGAAGAAAGAGATCAGGAATAAGAAGTGTAAAACAAACTCTGGCCAAAAAGGGCCTTTCATACTAACTCTAGAAACCTAAATGGTTAAAAGGCTGAAACAAAAATGTGAGAACATTAGTATAATTGGTGCCTCAGTTTAGTGGAAGGTATAGATGGTAACCAGAGGACAGCTACAAGCTTAACTCCCAAACTGTAATTAAGAAAGAACCAAAACATTTCATCAGCCATCTGCAAAAATAATACAAACCAAAAAATGCTTAGTTTTAGGAATACCCAAAATCTAATCAAGGAAGTGGAAAACATTCTTGATAAAATCAACAGCAGAGTCTGATAAATGACCTGGTTAGGTAAGAGTGCTCTAGTGGAGATAAACAGGAGAACAGCTTCCATTACTTAATACAGAACATGACATGCCAGAAGCTTTACAAACATAATTTCTTTTCATCCTCACCATAGTCTATGAGGGAATATTATTTATGAATGAGAAAACTAAAGCTTGGTAAGTTAATTTGCCTAAAGTTACTAGCAGGGAACAGAGCTGTGATTCAAACACAGACGGGACTCTACAACTGGTGTTCTTAACCAACTAATTGCATTTTTCAAATGGATCATCTGTCGAACTTTATCCTGCCATATTTTAAAAGATATGTTTTTAAAAAATGTTCCATGGGCAAATCGGTTGGGAAATTTTGAGTGTTTACTGGACTCTCGGATATCTCTGAGCCCCTATTATAAATCTAAAGACAAAAGAAAATAGCAGATGTATTGGCTGGCCTTTCTATATACCTCTTCATCTTGTCTTTCTTCTTTGTAACCTCACAAAGTGAACAATTAATGGAAAATAATACTTCCACGATGTGGACTAGATATAGTAGAAGTTTATAATTAGGCTGCTCAAAAATGACTGATTTGAAACTCAGCATTTAAAAATGATTGTTTTTATGTAACAAAAGGTAAACATTTTTTTTAAAAAATTAAACTTAAATACATTGGATATAGTTATAGTAAAGAATATATGCTCAATCATAAAAGTTATTTGGTTCCCCTTAGTACCACGGACTCAGAAGATCTTAGTTGTAAACAAGCAGGATGATACAATCTCTGACATAATTCAAGCTGGGTAAACCGCAATAGGTGTGTTCCTCAAATAGTCTGCCAAGTATTTATTTGTCCATGCCTATTATAACTATTGAGCAAATGGGTTGGCATGAATAGTTATATCCTTAATGTGTACATCATTAAGAGGTCGGTATGTCTTCTCATTTACTGGTAACTTCTCCAATTCATCTAGAGTCTCCAGACCATCTATCACCCTGAAAGAGAAATAATATAATGGATGAAAATTTTCTGATTGAAACACAATATCCATATATGTATAGCAATTACAGTATCCTTAAGAGAAAAGGACCGTCCCAGTCCATCTTGTTTAAGCCACTGTTTTTCAGATCTGTTAGTTGCTGCAAAATGCTATCTCAATGAAAAGACACATTACTGTTAATTTGCATAATGGACCAGAAAAAACATATTAACCTGTCTTTGAGAAAATCAGGAAATAGGCTGAGAGAGGTTATAATTTCCCAAGGTCACAGGGCAGGTTAAGTGGTGGGTTTACATTCCAGGTAAGTTTAACTCTCAGACTGCACTTTCCATATTAGTTATGCTACTATCACAGCCACTCATATGCATCCTTTGCAATGAAATTCCAAAGAAGAATATCATAACCAGGATACTCACTTTCCAAATACTGTGTATTTCATGTCCAAATGTGGCTGCTTGCCATAGGTGATGAAAAACAGATCCATTGGTATTTGGGCCATTATTAGCCATGGATACAACACCTCTAACGTTGTGCTGCCAAAGACAGACCAAAGTATTAATTTATGTTTTTAAATAAATATTCCAAATACAGGACTAAAACAAGACATGCACTCTTTAACCTCCCAAATATTTAAGGAACCAAGAAAACATTTAATCAGCTTCAACTTGGGCAAACCCAAATATTCAGTTGCTGTATTATCTGTATCACTGACAACTTATATTGTTTATATATCAAATCATATCCCCCAATTAATTTCATTTTCACTTTGGAGACATATAGCCACGAACACTTTAAGTAGTACCAATGTATAATAGAAATAATCCTTACATTTATGTTATGCTGGAATGAAATGATCAGGCAGACAATAAAACCAAAATCCCCATAATCTCTTCACACACACACTGGACTCTGGCTAGTTTATCTGTAAAACAAGGGAGTTTGGACTAGTTCTGGGTTTACTCATAATTCAAATGCTCACAAAGGTCAGCAGATAATAAGTTGACAAGTGGGCAGAATGTAAACATTAGGGAGTGGTGGAATCTGGCTAAAGGAATAATATATCTCTTGACCAATGCCTTTAAAAAAATTTTTTTAACCAATGGCCATATAGAATGCATCTATGGGTCTTCACCTATTGGCAGTCAGTTCATAACCCCAGGACTAGGTGATCTAGGCTATTGTAGGAATTAACAGGGAACCTTAAAATATAATCAAGGTCCTGATTGGTCCTACTGATGATTTTTCTCTATATTTGGGGGAGGGGGAGGAGAAGGAGGTAAGGTCCTACTTTTTTACTCTATTTTATATATTTTTATTGATTTCAGAGAGGAAGGGAGAGGGAGAGAGAACATCAATGATGAGAGAGAATCACTGATCGGCTGCCTCCTGCATGTCCCCTATTGGGGATTGAGCCTGCAACCCAGGCATGTGCCCTTGAATAGAATCAAATCCAGGACCCTTCAGTCCCCAGGCCAATGCTTTATCCACTGAGCAAAACCGGTTAGGGCTACTTTTTTATATTTTTAAAACTTCCACTAGTGAGTCTGTAACAGCAGCCAACGTTGAAAACCACTGGTTTAGGATTACAGATCAGTGTTATGAAAACTGCCATTAATTAATGTCTAAAAGGTTGTTTTGTTTCTAATTCAGGAAAGGATGATATTTTTTTTCTTTTTTTTAAAATATATTTTATTGATTTTCCACAGAGAGGAAGGGAGAAGGATAGAGAGTTAGAAACATCAATGAGAGAGAAACATTGATCAGCTGCCTCCTGCACACCCCCTAGTGGGCACATGCCCTTGACCAGAACCGAACCTGGGACCCTTGAGTCCTCAGGCTGATCCTCTATCCACTGAGCCAAACCGGTTAGGGCAGGAAACGATGATTTTTAAAATAATGTATCACTTCCTAACCTCAACTCCTATAACAAGGGTAGTATTTCTTTATGATAGAAAAGCAAAAAGATAAAATAAATTACTCCTAGTCTAACTATCCAGAGGTAAATACTGCAATTAATTTTTTTCCAGAAAATCCACGGTATATTCTAATGTAACTGAAATATAATATACTAAATTACATATTCTGATTGAGGGTAATTTGTCTCTCTTGTTTGTTTATTTGTCTCTCTTTTTTAAATTATGAAGTTATCATTCTGTGCAGATACAAAGTTTAAAAGACCACATAATAAACTGTTAATTGATGTCATCTCTGGGAAGTGGTTTTATTTTTTGTTTTAGAGAGCAAAAGGGAGAGGGTGAGGGGAGAGAGAAACATCAATCGGCTGTTTCCCACGTACACCCCAACAGGAGATCGAGCCCACCACCTGGGCGTGTCCTTGACCAGGAATCAAACCAGTGACCTTTTAGTGTAAGGGTCGACACTCAACCAACTGAGCCACATGGCCAGGGCTGATTTTTTAAAATAGGTATGCATCAGTTTTTTAATTTTAGAGAAAAAAAAAATCTTTAGAAAGTTTTAGAAATAATATGATAAAGAAAATTAAAATCCCTAATTTTACATGCTAACGATATATTTACATGCACTCTCTTTTAATCTTGCTGAAAGCTACCTCAGGCATTAAGTAACGTTAACATAGGGCTATTTAAACATCTAACAGATGATAAAAGTTGGATATTGATAATGGCAATATTGCAACCAGGAGGTCTCCCCACTCTCAAAAAAGGCCAATGGTTCATGTCATTCAACATGAATTTTATAGTGAGACCTGTAAGCCCCTTTGGTATGTTACTGATTAAACATTTCAGGCTGGACCCAAAGATGAGCTCACTTAATATCAACATCCATGTGATGGTAAGATTCCAGTATATATTTTAGGCTAGAACTGCCATTTATATTTTCCCCCTGATATCATTTATCAAGTGTGCAGAAACTACAAAAAGAGTGGGTATATATGTTCACTTGTGATATTAACTTGTGTTACTACAACATATGTATCAAAGTTTCCAAGTGTATACATGGCATGAAAAAATAATTTTGAAGCTTGAGGACATACCTTAAGATATTCACTGTATTCATCCTCAAATTTCTTGCCCCAGATACTGTTACCTCCTCTTCCGGTACCTATATTACAAGACAAATAAAATTAGTATCTAATTAGAGAAAGGCTTTATTTTCTAAAACTTCAGGGCTTTTTGTAACTCTTTAAGTACAAATAAAATTTGATATGTCCTCTCTTACATCCCAAAATTTCACTTTATAAACCAGAAAAATAAAATATCTCTACAAAAAAAACCCAAAACTCTCCTTATCAATATTCATCTTTTAGAGCTTGGTGCTAGTAGCTTCAGCTTAAATACTGCTTGCTATTGTAAGGTAGCCCAATTATAAATACTCCATTGTGCTTTTATTTTTCTATTCTTTGTCTATCCCCCCGCCCTCTTCGTATTATATACCATTAATTCTCTAGATATTAATGGGATAACTTACCTGAGGGGTCTCCTGTTTGAACCATGAAACCCTTGATATTTCTATGAAATATACAGCCATTGTAGTAATTACTGGCACAAAGAGCCAAGAAATTCTGAAGAGAGTAAAAAACAATGATTGAGAAATCATGTAGCAGAAACACTTAAGGTAAAGAACTAAGTGTATTTACTAAAAACACTATAACAGCATATTTAAACTATGTCTTTTAGGCATTGCTTTGGATGATGTTGCTTCCCTGCCTAAAGCACTTTTATGGCTTCCTCCGGGTTTTGGAATAAGATACAAACTCCTAAGCAGGGCCTACCTCTGCATCTCATGATAATGACCCCTCCCCTGTGGCTCACTATGTTAACCCCATCAGCCTTCTGAAAATTCATCCCACAGAGGCAGGCTCTCCTACCTTGAGGACTTTGTAACCATCTCTATACCTGGAATGTTCTTTTTATATCTTTTCATGGAGATGCCTTCATTACCTTTCACACTCAGTTTAAGTAGTATCCCTTTCTTGGCTAGGCCTGCCCTCACCTTCTTTTAAAGAATTCCTTCCCCATTTATTCTCTATCTCAACATTTTATTTCCTTCAAAGCATTATCACTCTCTAGAATTAGTTTTTTTCTAGAATAAATTCCCTCCCCCCTATCTGTCTCCCCACCTAGAATATTAGCTCCACAAGGGCAAGGAATGTGTCCTGTTCATCACTGTGTTTCCAAACACTGTCAAGATAGCCTTTCATGAGTAACTATTGAATGAGTAAATATGCATAGCTGACTTTTCTTCCTTCTATCCTTGTCATTTAAACAAGTGAAATAATGTAACATACAGTTCTCTTACCTGATATCTAATGATTACTTATGTTTCCTAAGGAAAATGAGCCAAAAGGAAAAGATGCCAGCCACCCTATCTGCCCTTCAATATCAGGAAAGGTAAGTGGAAATCAGGCCAGAAATGATGATGGCTGGTTTTTCCCGACAGTGGTTTCATACAGAAGTGTTTCAGGTTTTTTGGGACATTGTTGGCTTTTTAGATCAGTCAATTTCAAAATGAGTTAATCCTGCTGCATTAACTCATTTTTTGTTTGTTTATAACGGTACTCACTTCACATGCTTTGGGTGTCCTCTCGCAGAAGATTTCTATTTTAATATCACCTACATCTGTATGCAGTGTCACCGACTAAAAAGGAGACAGAAGGTGAGAACAAATGAGATTTCTTCAGGTGACTTTATGCACTGTATGGCCTCCCTAACTAGATATTAAAGACATTAAAGACAATGTAAATAAAAACAGAAATACGGTTTCAGAGATGACTTGTCCACATAGCAGCTCTGAGAGAAGTTGTAATCCTTCAAAATTTACTTCAGCAGTAGAAAAAAAGCTCCAGGAAATAAATATATAAGTTAGGGTAAAATGGTGTCTATGCTAAAAAATTGCGGAGCAAATATTTTGATTGAAATAATTATTTTAAGTTTGAATTTTTCATCAATAAAAACAAAAACAATTGTAATGTTAGAATTACTTATTTAAATGGCATTCACCATCGTTCATAGTTATTGAAAAAGGGTATGAGAATGACTTTCAAAACATAGTTTCCACCCTTTCCCTTATGTAATTTAATTATGAGGGACAAGGTTAAAAATTCCTTTCTGACCAAAGGCAGGACATAAGAAGCATCAGTGTTTCTAGATTCTAACTGGGCAGAGGTAACCACGGTCCTTTTTTTTCATAGTACTCTATTTTTGTTTTTTGTTTGTTTTATCTGTTGCTTCGGTGAATACTCCTTTTGTTATCCCATTCCCAAAAGAAATAAAATTATTATTCTGGGGCTTCCTTGCTCATTTTAGGTTAGTATCTAGCAGCCAGAGAGCATGGCCAGGTTGGGGATAGAAAGCAGGGGTGTGTGTGTTGGGGAGAGGGATGTGGGTCATGGCTCATTGCTGTTTTCCACTTCAAGCTCTAGTTGCCCCCCTTACATACAGAGCAAAGGGTTCCAGTTAAAATTATACCAGGGCTAAACCCTTCTGCTCCGCCTACTCTCCCTTTTCATCTCTATCTAATAATAAATCTCTTTCTATAAAAGGGAAATTCTCTGAAAACATAACTTAAAAAGTAATGTTGCTTATTTCTGGTTTTGTTTAGAACCATTTTTCACTGCCTTGCCATTGATATTTCCATGCAGTTTTCTTTCCCTTGACTGAATTTCTAAAAATTACTTACAATGAAAGACATTCATAAGAATTCTATAAAACTTACCATTTTTCTTCTTGATGGCTACTGTTACTTAATTTCTCAGTCTTATCGAGAAAAGTTCAAAAACGAATCTCCATTCCCAAAAGAAAAAAAAAATTAAGTTCATTTTTTTCTCTCTTCTCACATGCATATTTAAAAGAAAAAGTCTCGAGG